GGGGGGGGGCGGCTTCTTATAACTTGGGGATTGACTGACTTCCTCTATGTGTTAAGATGGCCCAGCTTGATTAGACATCTTATATATTTTCTCCCAAACATCCCTTCCCCCAGCACTAACCTAAATTCCATTGTGAGCACACCCTGTTACAAAGCCTTTGCTGAAACCAGAGTGCAGGGCCGGGGAGACAGCAGAGGGCATTCCCTCATTCCCTCAGCGCTTGGAAGACCTGATTCGTCTGAATAATTGGAAAGATCCCATTTTCATACCTTCTTATGTCCTGAGATTTACGCACACCTCAGGTTTCTGTACTCTTTGCGGCTATCAGTGGACCAAAGATTTCCTAGCTATGTTTAGTAAGACTTAACAGTTTCCATAGCAATTAAATATCATTGTTTCACTTAATCATTACACCCATTCAAAGATGGTTGTAAGCCAAAGAGAAATTGCCCCTGTGTTATAGGTGCCCAAAGTGAGGCGATACAGGCTGTCTGTAGCAGGGCCAAGATAGCATCCTTTTTTGAAATGCAAGCTTGGGCCTCTTTTGGTTCCTTCGAGGTTCTTATGCCGTTCTCTCTGTATAGCTTATAACCATTTTACTAGTTGGTTCTCTATTGCTGTGATGAACAACGTGACCAAGAGCAACTTGAAGAAAGTTTTTTCATCCTATAGCTTACAGTCTAACATGAAAAGAAGTCAGGGCAGGAACTCAAAATCAAAGACCACAAGTGCTTACTGGCTTGCACTCCATGGCTTGCTCTGCCTGCTTCCCATACACCCCAGGACCATTTTCCCAGGAGCAGCACACGCCTCCGTGGGCTGGGTTTTCCCACATCAGTCATTAATCAAGAGAATTCCCTACAGGCTTGCCTACTGACCAGTCTGAGGGAATCCTTTTCTCAGTTGAGGTTTCTTCTTCCCAGATAACCCTAGCTTGTGTCAAGTTGGCAGAAAAATCTAAATAAATAAAATAAAATCAAACCAGCACAGCCATTGTTGTGTGGCCTTTCCTGAGATATGGACAAACATCTGCTTACCCTAGATAGGACTCCACCAACAAGCTAAAGATGATTTCGCTCATGCACAGCCTGGTGAAGCAGTGAGTTTGAGGGGGCTACTTAAAAACTGTGAGTGGGGGAGCCCTTGCAGGAACATGGATGACTCAAAGGCCGGCCCAACATTAGTGACCACTCAAAACCGCTGCTTTCTGGAACTCCCTGAACAAATGCAGGCCCCTCCCCCCAGTAGCTGTTAGAGCGTCTGTAACTTCCCATTTGCCTTGTGAACCTTCTAAGGCTTAGGAACTCCCTGAGTCTGTGAGTTTTGTTTCCTTCCTGAGGTTTAATAAACTGCCCTCCAGAAAGATGTTTCAGTTCAGAGGAAATAGCTACCCGGTAGCCATTTAGCCTAAAGTAGTTTCTTAGAATAAAGTTACAAATTGTAATAGCCATTTAGCCTAAAGTAGTTTCTTAGAATAAAGTTACAAATTGTAATAGTAGAAAATAAGGGAAAATAAACCTATTCTGCATCATCTTCTAGTTCTGTTCTTACTAAGGTCTGCAAGTCAGTTTGCCCTCAGCATCCCTAAGCAGGACTGTGTAGCTGCTGTGTAGCAGCTGTGCTCCCTGTCCGCTTCCTAGGATTTACTGTACTTTGTTACTAAATGATGTTTTGTTAATCAAGGCTATTTGAGAGGACAGAAGGCATTAAATGAGATTACAGAGGAATCAGAGCTCTTCATAGACATTAAAGTGATCTTCCTAGGGGGCATATACAATGAAAATAGTGTTGATAGTTTTTGCAAAAGAAACTAAGGAATAAGCCTAGATTCTCTTATTCCTTACGGACATGGTCTGAGTATCTACCGTGTGCCAAAACATGGTTCTAGATAACAGTTATGAAGTCGAAAATGTCGCAGACAAAAAAAAAATGCTCTGGAGAAGTTTCCACTTCAGGGTGGGCAGGCAGATAGCCTCAGGTGGTGGGGAACATGGAAAAAGCCAAATGGGGACAGGACAGGGTATTGGGGAGGGGAGAGGTGAAGGAAGGCTTTGCTCCCTTCGTGTCATATCCACACTGGGACATGTAAATCAGCTTTTGCAAGGTCGTTTGTAACATAGCTACGTGATAAATCACTGGTAGTCTTACACTCGGTGAGGGGCCAGCTTACAGCTGTCACCGATGGACAGCTACATTCCCAGGGACATCAGTGACCGTGACCGCTACTTCTTCTCCCTGCAAGTCGATGTCTCTCTATTTGGCTGGACGTCCAGCTTTTTGTAAGGCTCGGCTTGAAAAACATTTGTTTTAAGGGAAAGGGGAGAAGGAAAGCAAAGCTGAAATCACTTAGGAATTATGCTTCTTAGAATCACATTTGCATGTATTTCTTGTGTTTTCTTTCACTTCTTTTCCTGTGCGATGATATCCATTCTGCTAGTGATAGGAACACTGTATTGTATTTTAAACATTCTTTTTATGTTTAAAAATGGCCATTGGAGGGAGAATATTTTCATAGTCAACTGGTTTTATCCCAAGGACATAGCCAAGCTGGGGGGATGTCCAAGAGAACACACTGCCACTACTTCTAGGGAATCCAAGCCTCCAGCCAACCTCTTCTATTCTGTAAATGGTGCTCGGGCGCTCAGTGACCTTTTCCTCTCCTCACTAGATGCCAACACAAAGACGAAAGAGGGGCAAGTGACAAGCGACGCAGCCGCACGCCAGGCTTAGCTGCTTCCTGTGCAACTTCAGATGCCACAAAGAGCTAAGATGCTTTCTGCACATTCAAGAGCACCATGCAGGCACTCCCAAAAGTGGGAAGCCAGCGAAGTCAGGTGGGAGGAATGATCATGCTTGCTCTTCTGGACATTTTGAAGTCCGAGGCCCTAGCCTGGAAAGATACGCGCTCTCTTGCAGACTGGGGCAAAGGATGAGATCCACACTCTGGGGTAGCTCCCCCCACTCCCGTTTCAATGGCACCTTTAAAGAATGACTCAGGCGGTTGGTTGATGTATCATGATCACGTCTGGAGGTTAAACAGCCACGCATCTATGAATGCTCATCACACACTTAAATATTCTTGAATTTTTCTGTGCTCTCAGAACATATTTTATGTATTTAATGGTCCCTCGGGGAGCACCAGGTGCTTTGGTCCCGCAGACAGGGCCAGTTGTGTCAAACCTCTGCATCTGTCAGGGTTCTCTGTGTGACGAATTCCATTTCCTGATTTCCATTTGAAAGTGCAGCCCTGACATTGAGGCCACAGAAACCCACCAGGGATAAGAATGGCTTCCTGACACCTCCGAGAGAGACGGGAGTGGGGAGAAGAAGCACGTGTTCCCCAAATAAACGCTTGCCTTCCTAGGGGCCAGGTCTGACTGTACAGCTGCAGATGAGTGGCTCCCGGGGAACAAACCAAACGGAATAAAGAAAACGAAAGCCACGGATTAGCATGAGTCTGTCGCAGCCAGATGGTCCTCTGCGGAGGACAAGTTCCTCCGCTTGCTTTCTCGGGCTCTCTGCGGAACGGACAGACGACAATGATCTCACCCCCTCAGCCAGGCAACCAGCGAGTGGCTCCTTTTCTTTCTCACACAACTTGAGCTGAAGGAAAAGTTGGAAGTGAAAGAAAAAGACTAAGAAGGGACAGGGAAGCCAGAAGCCTGGGAAGAATGAATAAGTCTTAGCTCAGGAGACAGATAAGACACCAAGCCTGACTGGAGTATCAGGAATTGGCATCGGCTGGGCACAAAGAGGGCCCTTGGAGGAGAAAGCAACAGACAGGGGCCCCAGCAGATTACCCTCTCCTCCTCAATGCCCAAGAACTTTGCCTCTACCATCCAGGACTGTCGTGGTATGCAAGACAGTGGGAGCAGGGGTGTTGTGGCTCTTAGAAACCCGGCTTTGAGTTCCATGCCCCTGCAGTGGAGAGTGTTTTCAACCTTGTATTTAGGAAACTGTCACCTCCCTCCATGGCTAGAGGCCAATGAGTCTGTCAGTCTTCGGTCTGAGGACCAGCCATCTGCCGCCATCTGGATAGGCCATGCCTGGGAGAGATGCCCTGAAGTGGTAGAAGCTAAGAGGGGTCTGAACAAGGCAAGGTTATGGGGTAAAATGACCCTGCCAAGCTGTAGCTGTAGCAGAAAGTTCCCTGGAACCTTCTGCTCTGGGAAGGGTTCGACCTAGAGTCATGCTGTCCAGCAAGTCTCTCATCGGAGTGACAGCCCGGGTCTGCTGGTGGCCATGAGGCAGACTACCAGATGCTTGCGTGAGAACACAGTATGTACGTACAGGTGTGTGCAGGGACATAGACCTTCCCTGAGCTAATTGGTTCAGTAAGAGTTCATACTGGATTCTGGGACCTCAACCCGCAGAAGATTCCAGACCAAATGATGCTGCACTGGAGGTGTGCGAAGCCCTGTGAGTCTTTTATCAGCCTGACCAAGCTTCCCAGGTGTGGTGGATTGAACGAGAATGGCCCTCCTTCCCCATGTGCCAGTGATGGACTCGTACATCTCTGGTACCGGAAACCCCAAATAAACCCTCCCTTCTATAAGTCGCCTTGGTCATGGTGTTTTAACAAAGAATAGAAAGGTAACAACACACCCAACACCGGGAAGATCGTCTCTAGCAGTGTTTAATAGGATAAATGGCGGTTCCAGGGTGACGTGTGGAGCATCCGGAAAGTAAAATGACTTCCTTTCACTGGCCCAGTGCCTTCCCCAGCCCGGCTGTCTTAGTGGGTAACAGTTTAGAAACTGCAGGGTCTGGGCCTCTCTTCTCCAGCTTCTCTTCCTTTCCCCTCCCACTTGCAGTTAAATGGCATGCTGGAACCCAAAGTCAGGGTGTCCTGTGAAGATGGACCCTAGGACACCGATTCAGAGGCAGAGATTGGAAAGCCATGGAGCTGAGAGCAAGCAAACAGAAACAGACACAGGCCAAGTCAATATCTAGAAGAGATACAGCTCCAGCCCGTTTGTGGCTGGCCGTGACCCATTTCTACAAAGCAGTTTCCAAACCTCGCAGAAAGAGATGCAGTCGGAAACATTTTGGACTTCCAAAATATTCTAAGTTAATTGTCTTCGCTGCCATTGATGAAAAGAAATGAGCCACATAGGTTCGCTCTTTTTCCTGATCACAAAACAACACAGAAGACAGACGGCTCGGGACCACTAGCAGGGAAACTTGTCTTGGTCTGATCTGGCGGTGGCTGGCCATTGGCTGCATCCGTGGAGTCTGGCCCTGCCACAGGGCTCCCAGCAGGTGTGACTTCGTCAGACACTGAAGCAAGACAGAAGTGTCAGTGGACAGCACTTCCAGCTGGTTTCCCTGCAGGGGGAAACTATTGGAGCCAGGCTCCTGGAAACACAGTGTGGCCCCACTGAGTACAATAAGGTCTTCCCAGCTGCAATAGCTACACCCCCACTCCTCTCCGTGATTTTGCTCTGCTATGCTGTGCTGAAAATGTCATCATAAGTCTTTACCTCTGCACCACTCACGTGCCCTTGCTGGCGTGTGACTGTCTATGTGCTCTGAACAGCAAGGCCACAGGGGATGGGGTGTTCAGACCTGGGGCCGTGCACTGGGGAGTGTGGCCCTGCTTGCCTGTGAGTGCCATGGTATTTACTCTCTGGGTCTTGTGTTTGCTCATCTGCAGAATGGGAGAAACTAATAAAGTGAGGACCTGTTTCGAGTGATTAACACAATGTCCCACGTGGAGAGAAAACTCCAACAGCCAATTTGTCTACCTGTGGGAGGCCCGAGGGCAGGCTGGGGACACAGCAGCCTCTGGGATGTGAGCCAGGAGAGGAGGGGGGAGTGGGGTTAGAGAACTCTGGCTATAGGAGGCGTCTCTCAGAGGCTCTCTCTACTCCTACTAAGTCATGTCCATTTTCTTTTTTATGATAATCATTGTTCTGGACGCACTTAAGTTTAAAAAGTCTCCGGTATTGTACAGAGGCTCACATCCTTCTAACATTCTAGAAAGCAATCAGTCAAATCTGCTCTCCCTCCCCAAATTTGTGAGTAGGCTTCTGTGGCCTGGGGTAGGGCTTCGCAAATCTGCCTGGTGGTCAGTTTTGCTTTAAGATCTGAAGAGGATTAGGCAGGTTCCAGCAGGGCCAGACTGTGACAAGCCCTGTTTGGTTTGATAAAGCCTTCAGAGGTGAGTCAGAAGTCTGGGACTTCCAGACCTATCTCCAGTCATGTGCCCTCAGATCCAGAATTAAAGAAGACCTGGACAGGCAGAGCCTGCCTTGGGGCAACTCAAGAAGACAAGTTATACCTAGAATTTAAAACGGAGGGTCTAAAGTGACAAGAAATCAAGGTCCATAGAACTCTCAAATGCACACAACTTTTTCGCATATGGCATTCTTATAGAACGTGGCCCAAGCAGCGTGGCTGAGTATAGGCTCCCCTAGTTAAAGTTCATCTGATGGTTCACCATTCCCTCTCTCCCCCGGTACTCGGCCTGCATGAGGGCAACGCTCAGCCGGCAATTGTTACCTATTCAAGTCTTAGGGCTGACTGATTTTCTTTTGTTTTGTTTTGCTAATTTTTATCATTCTTAATACCCCTCCTTTTTTAATTATGGAGTTTATTGAACTACTAGGTTTCCTGGAAATCTGATAATTATAATTTTAAAAGTGATTAAATGTCTCAGAAATGAACCGTGCAAGTTGAATGGCAAGAGAGTGTGTTTGAAAGGTTTCTCTTTCATGCTAGTACCACAGTACAGAGATGCAGGGCACAAACTCAATGATTTTTGTTTGTTTGTTTTGTTGGTTTGCTACTGAAAACACTCGGGGTTTAGAAGATGGCTCAGTGGGGAAAAGTTGCTTAAGTGCAAGGATTAGAACTCGAATCCCCAGAAGCCCCACAGAAGCTGTAAAGATTGGTGGGTTTGACAGTTTCCCCGTAATCCCAGCACAAAGACACGAGAGGTGGAGACAGAGGATCTCGCAGCAAGATGGCTATCTAGACTCTGAAACACCTGGCTTCACATTTGGTGAGAGACCGTGCCTCAATAGATAAAGGCAAAGACATCTGATGCCAACCTCAGGCCTCCATACATGCGTATGCCCACGCACGTGTGTGTGTGTGTGCGTGCACACACACACACACACCTACCACTCTCTTTACCACCACCTTCCAAATCAGCGTGTGTGTCCTGTGGGTACATGTGAGGAAAGAAAGACACGGGTTTGGGAAGAGTCTTAGTCGTACAGCAGTGTTCCTCTGTCCCGTCCTCCATCACTGGCTTTGAGAAACTCCATCTGACTGTACGGAGATGGCAATGGCCCCCATGGAAAAATGCCCAAGCCCCCTAAGGTTACCATGCCCCTTAGAAAGCAGGACCTTCCCAGATGTTTCCTGAGAGCTCCACGCTTTTTCATTGCTGCTAGAGGCCTTGCCATTGTCCTTCATGGACCAGGGACAACCCAAGAGCAAATATGCCTTGACCTAGAGCCTATGAGGGTTTATGGCAGGCAACCCAAGACTGCTAGGAGGGAAGTGGCCATGGTGAGGGCAGTGTGTGAAAAGCGGAGAGATGGATCCCATTTGAGGACCCTGCACAGCACTGTGCTCTTTATCTGCATGGTGCTCCCTAGCTCAAGGGGCTCAGGGAGGAGGCTGGCCTCTGCCCAGAGGAAGGAATATGCCAGAAGAACCTGCCAGCGGAGAGGGTTGGAAGAGCAGTTGCTTACATATCTAAGTCAACAAATCCCAGTTTCTCTCTGGAAAGCACTGGGGATCTCTGCAGGTGAGTGACATAGACCAGTGCAGAGTTTCAGTCAGACCTGGAAGGCTTCTGCCCTGCCCTTGTGCCTCCCACCATGACGCCCCAACTCCCATCACTTCACTTACTTCAAACACCAACAATGAAGAGGAATGGCAAAAATATCCTCTGTACTATGAGAATGGCATGATGGAAGGGAGGGAGGGAGGTTGTTCGTGGGAAAGGTGCCAGAGTCTAGAAATGGAGACCCAAACACCTATGAGCATTGGTCCTGGTGACTTAAGTCAGGGTTTCCTGTAGTTTTTTTTTATTAGACCCTTCTATCTCAATGTCTCCACCTGGATAGCAGCTTAAACCAATCTCAGCTCCCAGGGATGTTCAGCTGAACCAAAGCTAGAACAAAAGGCCATGAAAGTCAATCTTAAAGTTCTGCAAATGGCCATCTCTTCGTTGGAACCACAACACTTTTAAAGAGAGGGGCTGTATTCGGTGTGTCCCCAAGAGTCACCTTGCATATCGGCTATGTAAACAAGAGGTTCCTGGGTTTGGGGTGCTCTAGAGCAGCAGGAGATTAGCAAGTGTCAGACTGAACCCACTTCCTCGTCCTGCTTTCTTCAAAGGTAACAGGAATTGCCCCTGCTATAGAATTTCCTCTCAGACCAGCATTTTCCTCTTAATCAGGGAAGCAGATGCAGGGGATGGATCAAGTCTGCTTTGCAGTACCGGGAACCTCACTGTTGGATTCTAGTTTCTGTTTTTGGTACCACAAGCAAAACAGTGGCTCCTTGGTCCAACTCAGCACCAGGTTATTTTCCCCAAAGTTCCACTGTCTCGTTATCCTTCAAGCTTAGTGAGTTATGATTTTTATCCCTCTTTCCAATTGGAAGGTTCTAGTGTGTGTGGAAAACCTGCTCAGGAGCCTCTGCTAGGGTGAAGAGGCAGAGGAAGCACTCAGAGTAACTTCCTAGCACAGGACCATCTGTGGGAAAGCTCATCACTTGGATACACAAGCGCCATGGAAACTGATGCAGGTGAGAACTTGCCTCAGGATGTGAGCGTCCAGGGAAAGATTGCTGAGCTGATCATTGCAGGTGTCCACTGCTTAGATGGTGGCAGCATCGTGGAGGGTGGGATGCTACCTCGTGGATGGTAGCGGCATCGTGGAGAGTGGGATGCTACCTCGTGGATGATATCAGCATCATGGAGGGTGGGATGCTACCACGTGGATGGTAGCGGCATCGTGGAGGGTGGGGTGCTGCCACATTAGACACCTCTGCAGAGCTCAGTGAGGAACATCCGACACTGAGGACAAGTCTTGTGGATATGCTTACCTTTCTGATCGGTGACAACTGTAGGTCGCCCCATGATCTCGTCCTCGGTGGCATTCAGATTCTGGACCAGAAAGTACGTGGTCATTTTTCCTTTTCCTTTCACTTCGATCTCTCCTCTCTTGACAATTTCAAACCCTTTGTTTTCCAGGGCTCTATATAGAGAAAAACAAAATGTGCCAAGTACCAAAGATCACAGACCAGTCCTAGACCCACAGCAGAAGAGGGAGGATCTGAGGTGACATCCTCTAGAGTCTGTTAGGACATCAGGGTGAGAAGGAGGGACTCAATGGGGAAGGAGGGAGGCAGGAAGTGCCAGTGTTCTGATTAGGCTACAGGGGACCCACACACCTTGTTTCTCCCTCGCTGTTTGATCTTTACTCCCCAGGACCCTAGTTTTCTCTAAACCCTTGTTCAAGTTCCAGCTCGAGCATCCCCATAAAACCTTTCTGGATACTGACCCTTCCCAACCTCTCGCAGCCACGCTCTAGTTCTACCGGTGGGGGAGTAGAATGGTCAGAGTGGAGTCTGCGCATCACCCAGCTCTTCCTGGCCTTCTCGGAGCTGAAGCAAGCGGTTAGCTGTTTCTTTTCCTTTCTTATGCTTCTAAGCCTCAATATCAGATTTTCCCCCTTACTCTACTTTTACTGAAAATACTTTTTTCTACAATATATTCTGATCGAGGTTTCCCTCCTTCATCTCCTACAAAACCATTTCCACCCATCCAACTCCAAGCCTTCTTTCTCTCTCTCTCTCTTTAGGAAACAGGGAAATTAAAACCAACAACAAAAAATTTACCGGAATTCTTTTTTAAAGGTGTTTCGTGTAAATAAGAGTAGCATTGGTTTTTCTTCATGGAGCAGCTTAACAGCGGAGGAGCTGACCTCCCGGTACAAAGGAACCTAATCGAAGTGTGGCTTTTCCTAACCGCTCGAGAAATAGTGCCATTTGGTGCATACTTTCATGTGTGTTCTATTTCAATCACAACCATGAATTCTCTTTCTTCCCCTACTAGACCAAGCCGACAAGATTTTTCTGGGGAAGACCAGAGAGAGACTGTTTCAGGCATTGTGAGCCACAGTCTCTGTCATGACTGCCTAACTCTGCCACTCACAGAGACATCAGCAGTCATGGACGATGTGGAAAGAAAAGCTTATGTCTTATATCAGAGAGACCTCACCGCTGAATTCTAGCTCTGCTTGGGTACCACGAACAAAACAGTCACCCCATCATCCAGCTCAGCAGGGGGTGATTTCCCCAAAATCCCATTTTCTTGTCCAATAAAACTATTTCCAAAACCAGGCAACAGTTTGGATTTGGCCTAGGGGTTATAGAAAAAAAAAAAAAAAAAAAACAAGTTATGGCAGAGGCCCCTCCCCACTTCCTGTCTGTAAGCCAGTAAAGCACAGGAGAAGAAACATCAACCTCTTTCCTGTCCTTTCCATGCTGGGGGGCAGTCAGATGGTTTGGGGAAGCTGGAAGGACAGTGAAGCCAGGGGTAAACCGATGGCCAACCTGTAGGCCGTGGGGCTCAGATGCACTTTGTTGGGAAGCCCGTGACTTTCCATCCTAGAGGCTGTGTTGACAGTGTCACCAAACAAACAGTACCGAGGCATCTTGTCTCCCACAACACCTGCTAAGACTGGTCCCGTGTGGATTCCCACTCTGATCTGCGCAGAGAGAACACCACTGAGAAGAGAACTTTGAATCTTCTTGCCTTTACTCTGGTTTAGCTAAATTGAAAACACACCTACCGAAGTGGTTAGCTCCCCAAGGTTTGACAAGTGCACATGTTGCTACAACCACGGTCACAAACGAAATGTAGAACAGTTCGTTACCCTGCAAACTTACCTTGTACCCTTTTCTAGTTAGCTTTCCCCAACCCGCTGCATGGAGCATTAGTGCTCCTTCCTGAGGGAGAAGGGAAGACTTGTATGTAAGTCTTAGAAAGCCAGTGCAGCATAAGAGGATGGCGAACCTCAGGAAGTTCTGAGGTTAAAAGCCCCCCCCCCATGGAAGAAATTTTGTGAGTGGACTGAGGGCAGGTGGGGATGGGAACACAAGGAGGGGGTGAGTGCTGAGGGGGACTGCTGGGGGGCGTTTCGGAGTCCAGGGGAAGCCTGGTACAGGGGAATCTCCCAGGAGTCTACAAGGAGGACCCCAGCTTAGAGTCGCAGCCATAGTACAAAAATAGTCTGAACTGGCTGTCTCCTGTGACCAGATTGGTCCTGGCCCAATTGACATCAGAGAGATGTCATTCAGCAACTGATGGAGGCAGATGCAGAGACCCACAGTCAAACATCGGGTGGAATTCATGAATCCTACAGAGGAGGAGAAAGGAGAATAGGAGCCAGTGGGATCAAGGATGCCTTGGGGAGGCTCACACCATCTTATAACCTGTGCTCATAGGGGCTCATAGAGACAGAACCAACAACCAGGGAGCCTGCATGAGACTGACCTAGGCACTCTGCATATGTGACAGTTGTGTAGCTTGGGCCTCTTATAGACTCCTAACAGCTGGAATGGGGCTGTCTCCCACTCTTTTACCGGCTTTTGGAACCCTACTTCTCATACTCGCCTACTTGCCCAGCCTTAATACATGGGGAGGAGCTTAGTCTTACTGCAGCTTGTTATGCCATGCTGTATGGACACTCGAGGGAAATGAGGGAGAGGGACTGGGGTGGGAGGATGTGGGGGGAGGCTGTGGCTGGGATATAAAATAAATAGATGAATATATGCATAACAACCCCCGAAGGCTGTAAAGCAGCAGAGAAGGGAAACTGTCTTTGCAGAAGCTGCTTGAAAAACTGTGTGCTGGGGTCAGGGTTCAAGGAGGCAGCCTCCATGAGTTGTCATTAACGCTGGGTTATGGGGGGTGGCCTTCTTAATTATTCCAGCTGAATTTGGAGCTCCTATAAGTAACCCCAATAATCTCACTGGTTCACTAAGCCAGTCATAGGCTCAGTTGCTCACTTGATCTGTTGCTGGTACCCTATGTGAGATGAATATTTGTTCATGAGCTCCACCCTCACTCCAGAAGAGATTGTTGATTCTTACTTATATCAGCAGAGGCAGGCGGATCTCTGGGAGTTCGAGACCAGCCTGGTCTACAGAGCTAGTTCCAGGACAGGCTCCAAAGCCGCAGAGAAACCCTGTCTCGAAAAAAACAACAACAAAAAAAAAAGATTAATTTGCCCTCCGAGAGCATCACATGAATGAAACCAGATAGCATATGCTGTTTAAATGCTGGTTTCATTTATACAATGTATTGATTTCAGAGTCCTTCACAGTGTCACTTATATCCACAGTCATAATTTTTATTGCCCACTAGGAAGAACATACCATGGTCCATTCTCCTCTTTGTGGATATTTAGGTTATTTCCTGTTTGGAGCTATGATAAGTATGGCAGTTATAAGCAGTCTGTAGAGATATACTTGTAAACATGTTTTTACTCCTTTCAGGCAAAATACCAAAAATTGTAGGTGCTACCTTGTGTCATAAAACAGATACATATTTAATTTTTTACCAAACCAAAACTGCCCCAAATTTTCCAAGGTTGACTCTCCAGTTCTCCATTCATATCCGTAATGGCACACACCTCACCTGAGCTCTGAGCTCTCAGGGACATGTGGGCATGCATTTGCCCAAGCAGAAATCTCTTGGCTGCTTGATAAAGCCAAGCCACCTGAAGTGATGCTTGAGCCAAAAGAGCAGGAATTACAAACAAGGAGCCCTCAGCACCGTCCTATTACAAAGAAGAGTATCCATGAGTCCAGGAAAATCTCAGAACAAACAGCCTGCCCTGGAGCCTGGGAAAGCTGAGCCTTCTCCCAAGCTTCCTGCTTAGGCGCGTAAGCAAGAGCAGAAAGGACTTTGACAGAGGATGCAATGTCAACGGTGTCGCATACCCCAAGTCCACCCGAGCAGACCAGAGCTTTACTCTCGTGTGTCTTATTTTGTCTCAAGTGAAGCGCTCCTTTGCTCCCTACCTGGATGGGCTCTCCAGTGACAGGATTCATCACTTCTTCTGCAGAAATTCTCATCCCCAAAGCAAAATTAGCGACTCTCTGGGCATGGCTCTCAACAGGCACTGGTACTCCGCCTACCACCATGTAAGCATCACCGATTGTTTCCACCTGCCAGGGCAAACATAGAATAAAATAAAATAAAGTGTTCAAAGAGTTCAGGGAGTTTCCTTCATGTCCCATCCAAGCACCTGTATGTGCCTCTCATTGACAACAAGCTGTTGATTCTTTGCTGGGGAAATGAGGAGTAGGAAGGAGCTGGAACACAAGGTGGCCATGAGATCTTGCTGATTTTATTTTGTTTTACTTTTGGTACCGGGGATGGAACCCAGGATCTCACATGGCTAGGCAAGCTATATCCCCAACCTCCTTTCTGGTTTTAGTGAAAATGAGTCCCAGAGATGTAGTGTGGTTTTGTTTGTGTTTTAACAAATAAAGCTTGCCTGAAGATCAGAGGGCAGATCTAAGCCACTAGAGGCCAGAAAGTGGTGACACACACCTTTAATCCTAGGACTCAAGAGACAGAGGCAGAGGGATCTGTGAGTTCAAGGCCACCCTGGGTTACAGGAGATTGACTCTGTCTAAAAGAGAAACAGCTCACACAAAGGTGATCCCAGCATTTGGGATCACACAGCTTGGTTTAGAATTGTTTGTCTGAATTTGTTTAAGATATATATTTTTCTCTGCTCCCCATTTTTCCTCCCCCCTCACCTTCTACCTTCTCCTATGATCCCCATGCTCCCAATTTACTCAAGAGATCTTGTCTTTTTCTACTTCCCATGTACATTAGATCCATGTATGTCTCTTTTAGGGTCCTCCTTGTTGTCTAGGTTCTCTGGGGTTTTGAACTGTAGGCTGGTTTTTCTTTGCTTTATGTCTAAAAGCCACTTATGAGTGAGTACATATTATAATTGTCTTTTTGGGTCTGGGTTACCACACTCAATTTGGTGTTTTCTAGATCCATCCATTTGCCCACAAATTTCAAGATGTCATTTTTCTCCGCTGTGTAGTATTCCATCCCGTTAATATACCACATCTTCTTTATGCATGCTTTGGTGGAGGGGAATTTTGGTTGTTTCCAAGTTCTAATTATTATAAATAATGCTGTTATGACCATAATTGGGCACATGTCCTTGTGGTATGATTGAGCATCATTTGGGTATATACCCAAAAGTGGTATTGCTGAGTCTTGAGATAGATTGTTTCCTAATTTTCTGAGAAATCGCTATGCTGATTTCCAAAGCAGTTGTAGCAGCTCACACTCCCACCAGCAATGCAGAAGTGTTCCCTTTACCCAATATCCTCTCCCGCATAAGCTATCATCAGTGTTTTTGATCTTGGCCATTCTTACAGGTATAAGATAGAATCTCCGAGTTGTTTTGATTTGCATTTCTCTGATGGCTAAGGATGTTGAGCATTTTCTTAAGTATCTTTCAGCCATTTTAGATCCATCTGTTGAGAATTCTCTGTTTAGGTCCATTCCATGATTTTTATGGTATTATTTGTTCTTTTGATGACCAATTTCTTGAGTTCTTTGTATATTTTGGAGATCAAACCTCTGTCTAATGTGGGGTTAGTGAAGATCTTTTCCTATTCTGTAAACTGCCATTTTGTCTTGTTGACCATGTCCTTTGCTTTACAGAAGCGTTTTAGTTTCAGGAGGTCCCATTTATTAATTGTTTCTCTCAGTGTCTGTGCTGCTGGGGTTATATTTAGGAAGTGGTCTCCTGTGACAGTGCATTCAAGTGTACTTCCTACTTTCTCTTCTATGAAGTTCAGTGTGGTTGGTTTTATGTTGAGGTCTTTGATCCATTTGGACTTGAGTTTTGTGCATAGTGATAGATATGGGTCTATGTTCATTCTTCTGCATGTTGATATCCAGTTATGCCAGCACCATTTGTTGAATATGGTTTTTTCCATTTTATATTTTTTTCTTCTTTGTTAAAAAATCAAGTGTTTGTTGGTGTGTGGATTGATATCCAGGTCTTCAATTCAGTTCCATTGGTCCTCCTGTCTGTTCTTATGCCAATACCAGGCTGTTTTCAGTACTATAGCTCTGTAGTAGAGTTTGAAGTCAGGGAGTATGATGCCTCCAGAAGTTCCTTTATTGTACAGAACTGTTTTGGCTGTCTTGGGTTTTTTTTTCTTTTTTAAATGAAACTGAGTAACTTTTTTTTGAGGTTTGTGAAGAACTTTTCTGGGATTTTGCTGGGCATTACATTGAATCTGTAGATTGCTTTTGGTAATATTTTTATTTTTACTATGTTAATTCTACCTACCCAAGAGCATGGGAGATCTTTCCATTTTCTGGGTCTTCTTCAGTTTCTTTTTCCAAAGATTTAAATTTAATGCCAGCACTAGGGATATAGAGACAGGAAGGGCAGAGAGGGGAATATAAGGTGGGAGGAGACAGGAGCTAGGTGCACTCTGAGGATGAAGTCTGAGGACAGGATCATCCCTTGTGTCTGAGCATTGGTAGAGGTAAAATATCTCTCTAGTGGCTGGCTGCACTGCTTCTCTGATCTGCCAGCTTTCATCCCAATATCTGACTCCAGGTTTTATTTATTAAGATCAATTAAAATTCATGCCACACAGAGAAGATGAAGTTCCTAGGTAGTCACATGATGTTTTATATCAGATGATGAATTATGTGGCTGAAACTCTGCTGAGCAGATGCCTGGGACAGTGATGATTGCTGCCCATGGGTACCAAAGCACTGCCTGAGCATGGGCATTCTAAAGGGATTCCTATACACTTCTCAATCCCTGCGTGCCTCTCCTTCTCAGACTGGTGTAGATGCAGGAATGGAAGACAGGCTCAAGTGCTTCCCTCCTGGCCTGATTTCAGAAGCAAGCAAGCACACACACACACACACACACACACACACACACACACACACACACTTACTTTGTAGACCTCGTGAACACTGGTTAGCCTGTCAAACTTGGAGTACATTGTGTTCAGCATGTTCACTATTTGGATAGGTTCACAGGCCGCACAGATGTTGGTAAATGTTACCACATCACTGAAAAGGATTGTACACGTCTCAAATTCTCCTGCAACAGAAATGAGGTCAGCGGTAGTCAAGGATCCAGAATAATAATTCTACGAATTTTTTAATCCAATATCTTTTGAAGACCAAGCCTGCCTGCCCCCTCGGGGAAAGCAGCTGACGTCATCCCCTCTTCCCCATCTAGTCAACAGATATGAGCACATACATTGGGTCCCTACTGTGAGACAGCCTTTGTTCCACAAGAGTCATACTGCATGAAATAAGCAGAAGGAGCCCTGGGTCTTAGGGAGTTCCCCAGCTAGTGCTGGAGGCAGGAATTTGAGTCAGCAAATGCTCCCCTGAGAAGTGAAAGTGCTGTGGGTTGAGAGAAACGGCTCCTTTGATCCAAAAGCGGAGCCTGGACTACAGAGATGCCAGTATTGGGTCTGGAGGAGTCTGTCTTGGCACAGCGGCATAGCTGCCACATTCTCCTCTCTCTCTCTCTCTCTCTCTCTCTCTCTCTCTCTCTCTCTCTCTCTCTCTCTCTCTCTTCTACCCTGGCTTCCAATTACACTAATTTCCACATGGTAGACAATGATCTTGCTAATTAAGAGTCACTTTTTTATCCTCGGTATACCTACAAATGGGACCATTCTCCGTCTGTGCCGCCTCTGACCTTATGTCCCCACGACTCCTGGTTTACATGGGTTATCTCAGCCCAGGGAGCGCCTCCTGCCTTGGAGCCTGCACATCTGCTGTCTCCTTGCGCGATGTACACTTTTCATCTCAGTGAGAACTGGGGTGGAGACTTACTGTTATCTGCTGCATGCTAGCTAGTGTGTACTCAGTCGACTGCCGAACCCTGGAACACAGTGGGGAGTGGAGGGGCTTCAGCATGGTTTATCCGCATGGCACTAGTCTCCCTTCACGTGACTCTACTGATCATGCTTGTGTTCTTCTCAGCCTTCTCCCTTTTTATTTTTTAAATTTTTTTTCTTGTTCATTGTGGCCATTTTTTTTTTTGAGTCCTAGTTTGCAACTATGTTGCAGTCATGAAACAGTGACTAGAACCAGCGTGGGAAGAAAGGGTTGCTTCCTCATACAAGTCCCAGTTAACAATCCATCACGAGGAAAGCTGAGGCAGGAACGGAAGCAGGAACTGAAGCAAAGACCATGGAGGAACTGCTTGCCCACTTGCTTCCAGGCTCATGTTGAGCAACCTTTCTGATACAACCTAGGACCCATGCTCAGAGGTGACACCACCCACAGGGAGCTAGGCCACCCTCTATCAACCAAGAAAACGCCCCACAGCATGCCACGAGCCAATCTGATGGAGGCAATTCACCCTCCATCAATCAACAATCAAGAAAATACCCCACAGACATGCTACAAGCCAATCTGATGGAGACAATTCCTCAACCGAGGTTCTCTCCTCCCAGATGACTCTAGCTTGTATCAGCTTGACAGAAACTAACCAGATGATCTTACGTCATCCACAGAGCCTAAAAGATTCTAGACCTATGTAGTTCTATGCTAGAACTTTCCCTCCAGGTCTGTCTATAATTCTAACACTTGCTGCTCTTGTTAGGTGAAGTCCTCAACTCACTCTCAACATTTCTAAACCGACCTGACTGCCATTGCCTCAGGCCTGATCTTCTTTCTGGT